ACACGTACTCATCTTCTTCCTTCGTTCTGCAAAAACAAACATTAGATAACGGGGGTTTTTAACCCCCACAAACTACAGTAAGGAAAATAGCGAATAGAGCTGTGATTTATATAAATGTTTCACGAGGGTTTGGTCATGTTCGTCTGGTTCTCAGGATTCCAACCATGTGCCTTAGTGGTCTCAATTTTTCCTGGTTTAGGAATCCCCAATTTCAAAGCTCATGAACCCTAAAATTCAACCATGGCATCTTGTGATTGATTTTGAATAAAAATGTCAAACCGTGGTTCTGTAATGGATGATTCTTTGAGCTATGAAGCTGGAATTTGATTGCCACACGTTCTGGGAACCTCCTGCAATAGATTAGAATTAACAAAAGTCTTTAAATCGCCCTGGAATATAGAAATCAGTTTTGAGTTTTTCTTGGAATTTTTCAATATGTTATGGCCTTTGTCTGCAGCTTCTTTCACATGTATGGCATTAGGGTTTACTTGAATATATATATAGAGGAATGAAATTAGGTCACAATCTTGAGCAAAAATCCATTGAATTGATGATTGAATATTTGATTGGAAATCAAATCTTTTTGCATTTTCATGATTGGAAAAAGTTGCCAATTTTGGAGATTTTGCATCTTTGACTTGGTACACGAAATTGCCAGCATATCTTGACCATATTTGCTTCACAAAAAGATTGAAAAACCACATCTTTGTATTTTCCTACAATTTAAATTAATTAAATGAATTAATATTGATTAAAAATCCAATTAATTAATAAAAATAAGAAAATAAATTCAATTAGGCTTGATGGGTCGTGCATAAGTCATGGATGAAGTTTCAAGAAGAGATTTGAGGCCCATTAGCAAAAACAAGGTGTTTTGAGCAAAGTTGACTTTTGCAAATTCATGAAAATTTCCCAACTTCTCCAATGCATATCTTGCTCAATTTTGATCATATGAACATGTTCTTGGACATTTTGGAAAGGCCTTGAAGTCCTCTAACCAATTCCTTTTGTCCCATGTCATTTGGATTTACCAATCTCAAGTTATGGCCTTTGAATCAAAAGGTACTTTTGTTGACTTTTAAAATTGACCTATAATGTAGAAATTGATAACTTTTTGTAAGAGCATTTCTTGGACTTGGAATGTGAAGATGGATTGTAGGAAATGTCATCCCCTTCAAAATGAGCATTGGATGGAATTTTTCTGATGAACCATGAAAAAGTTATGCCTTGGTCAAGATACAGTTGACTTTTCTGTTGTCCAAAAATAGTAACTTTTTGCATCTTGATGATTTTTGAGCCATTCTTGTGGAATCATGATCAAGACTTGATCAAATGATGATTGTGGACTCAAAATAAGATGTTGACCAAAAATTCTGACTTTTGACTGCAAAATGACCTTTTTGCCCCTGCAGTTGATTGTGGATCAAATGGGGCTTTTGACTGTGCAAATTGGCACTGTGAGTCTTGAAACTTGGCATGTAGATGCTTGAGAATATTTATAGGCCCTTGAGACTTGGTTGAACCATTGAAAACCCAAAATTCCTTGAAAGAACCAAAACCCTAATTTCAGCTGGCTTAGGAGGTATTTGGACTGTGCAGTCCTTGAGCAATCTTGAACCATTTGAAGATAATTCTTGACAAACCTTGAGGAATATGGGAGGGCAAATTTTGGGATACAACACACCTCTAACCCCACATACCAATTATCATGAACCCAATTATAGAGTCAGAACCCTACCCTTACCTTAGATTGAAGGTCGCTCTATAATCTTCCGGTTGAGACCTCATTCTGTCGTTTTTCCTCTTTTCCAGCAGCTTCACATTCTTCTTCTCAATCCTTATTCTTCTACTGTCTCCTCTTTTCTATTCTTTCTAGCAACAATAAAATAACCTATTATTCTTTATTCCTTATTGGGCTTAAAACTAATACACCCCCTTATTACTGCTTCCATTTCTTAAAAACAAGCCCACATCAAATAATAGTATACTTCTAATATTATTTCACCACTTAATAAAATAATTAAATTCAATTAATCACAACACATCTTCTCAAATATTCCAAAAATAATTTAATTAAATAATTAATTAAATTACGGGCGTTACAGTTCACCCTGTCGTCCTCGCGTGGGCTACTCTGCCCCCAATTCTAGAATCTAGAATTAGGATATGAAATTAATTTTGCAAAATTTGTAAGAGAAGATACAATCACCACAATTCAAAATCACTTGATGAATCTTATATGTTGCACTTCTCTTCCCTTGATTCCAGATGAATCAAGTATGCCAAATCTTGAACAAACACTCCTTCTACCTTGAATGATTTTGTACTCAAGATAATTTGGCCCCAAATCCTTCTTCACAATCCTCCGGTTACCGCTACCTGATTGAACACTGCACTGTCTCTCAATCCCTTAGTTCGGCTGAATTCAATGAAGCAAAGATTTGTGATAAAAAAAAAACCCAATTTTGGAGGACAAAACTCCAATGGTTTTATTCAAGAAAAAACCCACAAAGATCTCTACCCAAATCTGAAATTGCACTTTTAATTCGAACGTTATCAACACAAACCCAAGAACTTGATCAACAAAAATGATTGTGTGTAGTTGTTGATAATTGATGAGAGGTTGAAGATGAAGAGAACTCTTGTGTATATTTTTCACTTTTTCTTGTTATTAGTAAAACAGAGGCCAAAACAATATTTATAAGTCACTCCCATGATGTAACAGCATAGCAGAAAAATGAGACAATTTAACGATGCGTCGACTCATGCAGGGTACACAGAAGGCGTGCGCCTTCCCGAGCGAAAGAGATGTTGAAATTCCTTTAATCATGCGCCGACTCATAATTTTGATGCGTCGGCTCATGTTTTCCTAAAACTATGCGTCGACGCATAGAGAAGGTGTGCGCCTTCCCGAGCGAGAGAGGTTGAAATTCCTCCAGTCATGTGCTGACTCTTTCTTTGATGCGCCGACTCATGTTCTCCCAGAACCATGCGTCGACGCATAGAGGAGGCGTGCACCTTCCCGGACGTTTCCAAGCTAAAATCTTCTTCTCATGAATCGACCTAAGGATCCATGAGCCGGCTCATGCAGTCTGTTTTGAGATAAATGCTTGTTTTTTATGTTTCTCACTTGCACCTGTTTGAAGCAAGACACATTTGCACATATAGGTTTTTGACAATCATTAAAACTCAGTTCTTTCACTTTTGCCCTCACAAGAGGGAGTGAAGTAATTTTTTTGGATTTTTCTTGTTTTAATGAAAGTGTAGAAAAATAAAGTGCAGAAAAATAAAGTGCAAGAAAGTAAAAGACATAAGGATATGTCTTAGTTCCCTTTATAACTAAGGGTACATTAGTTCTTTCACGCCTTAATGAATTTTCTATTATGTTAGATTCTTTGTACAAGACTCACATCAAGATCTTTCTTACAATCTTATAACATAAGCAAGAAAGTACACCGCTTTCTTTTTCATAACACTTAGAGAAATCACATCACTTTCTTCTACAATTGCTTATAGCCCCACCTTGGTGACCAAGTTATAGCAAATATGATAAGAAGATACTTTAATCTACGGGTGTGCAAAAAAACTGGTTTGTGAGAACCGATTTTAAAAATTCAATGCACCAATTTTAAATATATAATTTCTATTAGATAAAAATTAAACTAGATCCATTTTGTAACCAAACCAAATAACCAGTATCCATTTTTCAACACCAATGGTGATCCATAAAACCAAATGATAAACTTGTACACCATTTATAATATTTGGCTGAAACTTGATTCTTAAACAAAATTGAGATTATTCAGCCGGGGTGCAATATTCACCTTCTTTTTCTATATCATTTATGTGAATGTGTATGAGATTCACAAATATGTATTCTTTTCCTTTTTTACCTGTGTAAATTGTTTACTCTATTATTCAAGTTAGAGCATCTAATTGATTCTACTTGACTACCTATATTAACACTAAATTGATAGTTAAGTTTAATAGGTTTGAGTTTCTTATATGTATTTCTTTCTTTTTCTAGAAATGCTCAAATTGTTCAGAAAGAATCCATAAAGAAACGGTTGAAACTTCCATAATGGGGCTGAGTATAAATTGTTTGGAATTTGAATTTATATTCTATACGGTACCTATTATTAATTCTGAATTTCTAGAAGGTTATATTATATGGAAATTGCAAATAATTATGGAGCAAGAAATGATTATTTCATACTAGGATCTCTCGTGAATAATTGTTTTTAAAATTAACTAGTTTTAGAACTAGTTAAAATAAACAGGTTGGTTAATGAAAATAAAATTATTTTTTTGATATAAATTTGATTTTTTTTAAATAGTTTTAAAACTTGTTTTTTTTATAAAATTGGTTTTTTTTTATATATAACTGATTTTTTATAAAATTGGTTTTTTTAAAAAAATAAAAAAGTGAATTTTAAAAAATCCCATTTAAAATTGACTTTTTTTAAAATTGATTTTTTTGTGAAAAACCGATTTAGAACTGAATCGATCCACATATAAATCGATTTTAAAATAATAAGTCAGTTTTAGTGAAATAATTTGAAAATCCAAACCAAATCATATATATTTCAATATGATTTGGTTGTAAATCCATGCTAACACCTACTTTAATCTTCAACGCTAGTTGTTGTTCTAACATGCCAACCCATAACTTAAACCAAAACATAGAAACAAGTTCTGCCAATAGCACAAACAACAAGACTGTAAAGAAATGTAAGAAATGATCGTACCAGGAATGTTAAAGAAATGAGTGCTAATGTTCCTGAGTATAAGGGTTTGATTAACCAGCATTCGCTGTGTTATTTGTGGTGAGGTTGAACAGCTTAGCAAGTTTTTGGCTTGCAGACTTCAAATCATCATATTTTTTATCACAATCACAAGAAATTATACAAGTATAAGCTACAAACATTTTAATGAAAATAACTGTTTTAATGACTGATTGCAAGAAACTATGAAGAAAACCCTAATTTAAATAAATAAGTCTAATCAGAGCTGGTGAACTTGGTGACGGCCTTAGTTCCCTCAGAAACGGCATGCTTGGCAAGCTCACCGGGAAGAACAAGGCGAACAGCAGTCTGAATCTCCCGGGATGTGATGGTAGGTTTCTTGTTGTAGCGAGCGAGTCTAGAAGACTCCTGCGCGAGCTTCTCAAAGATATCGTTGATGAAGCTGTTCATGATTCCCATTGCTTTGCTGGAGACACCGATGTCAGGATGAACTTGCTTGAGAACCTTGAAGATGTAGATCTTGTAGGTTTCAACACTCTTGTTGCTTTTCTTCTTCTTCTTGTCTGTGGAGGATGCATCCTTTCGGATCTTCTTCCCCGCCTTGGCTTTTTCCACTGGTGCCTTCTCTGCAGGCTTTTTCTCCGCTGGTTTCTTCTCTCCCTTGGGGGCCATGGCGGATTAAAAGATCGAAGCGAAATGAAAGGGATTAGGGACAATTGGTTGAGAATAAGAAAGCGATATTTGCAAGTGATGAACATGAAAGAATGGGAGAATAGTTTATATACGACTGATGAGTGGGACCTCATTGGTGGGTTTTTGAGCACGCGGATTGATGACGTGTATTACTGCATTTGGAGGGAGATTTTTAAACATCCAATATATTGTAGTCAGCTTAACCAATTTTAATTATAAAAATAAAAAAACTATTTTAAAAAGTGGCTACTATTGTTTGAATAACGGTCGACACAATCAATTGTGGTAAAATTGAATCTGATATAATTAATTTTAAAATAATTTAGTTTTAGTAAAAGCAGAATAATAAATTTTATTGTAAAAATTATATTTAAATTTAATATTTATAAATTATAGCTTTTAATAGAATCAAAGCATGAAAATTTTATTTTAGAAAATCAAACACTCCAAAATCACTTCAAAATCAATTTTATTTCTCTACAATTGATTTTATCTCTTTCAAAATTTAAATCAAACATCTTAATAAAAAGATAAATTATTTAAACAAGTTTTAACCATATTAAAATAATATTATTGATAATTATTCCCTCCATTTTAAAATAAGTGTCTTTTAAAATTTTTGCACACAGATTAAATAATGTAATAATATTCTCACAAAATATTGCATTTTTACTAAATTAACCTTATAAATATATTAGAAGTAGTATAAAATATAATAATTAAAAGACACAATTAAAAAAATTATAATTATTTTTACATTGAAAAGTGAAAATGACATTCATTTTAAAACTTTTATTTTAAAACGACACAATTTACAATGAAGGGAGTATTAAATTTATTTTAAAAAAAAATTAATTTGTCGTGCTTCTAATTTAAAATATTGTTTGATGATTTATAAGTTAATTGTTTTGATGACTTATAGTAGTATTATTTTTACTACTTAAAAAATTTACATAAAAATAAGAAATAAATAAAAAAATATACGACAAATGTAAAATGTCAAATTAATAAATAAAGAAAAAAAAACTAGGTAAGTTTGTGAAATTAAAATAGAAGACAAACAAACTTCTTAAATAATAGAAAATAAACAAAAAAAATTGTAAAGAGTCTAGTCATGTTGATGCAAGTGTATATGTTAAATTGTAATTTAGTGTGTCGAAATTATGTGTCGAAAAGATTTGATTTGTTTTAGATTTAAATAGATTTGATTTAAGTCTAGAATAAATTAGATTTGATTTAGTAACAAAAAGATATTTTGGGCTTTGGGTTTTGGGTGTAAGCTCAGTTATAAATAGAGGAAGTAACCCCTATTTTTGTGCAAGTCATTCACAGTATTTTGCAGTTGCAAAGTGAATAATAAAGTTTTCAGTTTGTGAGCAGAGAGAAAATCTGCAGAAATTATTTGTCTTGTCTTCTTTCTTTGTTTGTCTCATAATTAAATTGTCATTGTGGTAGAAATTCATCATAGTCTTTTGGTGGATTTACAACATCTGGTATCAAGAGCTTTTGTTTCGATTCAAGGGAAGTATCAATCAAGAACGATTGAAGAATTCACGATGACAAGTTATGGGAATGCAAACTATCCAGCAACGCTACCAATCTGAAAGTTGACAACTATGAGAATTGGTGCAAACAGATGAAAGTCTTATTCGGGTGTCAAGGTCTTTGGGACCTTATAAAAGATGGAGTCGAAGCGCTTGGAGAAAACGCTTCAGAAGAAGAAAAGAAGAAATACACAGAAGCTGAGTTATAAAGCATTATTTATAATTCATCAATGTGTCAGCCCAGACAATTTCGAAAAGGTTAGTGATTCAGAATCTGCAAAAGAAGCTTGGGAAATCCTTGAGAAGTCATTTGGAGGCGCTGAAAAGGTGAAAGAAGTGAGGTTACAAACTCACAAAAGGACGTATGAATTGCTTCAGATGGAATACAGTGAAAGCATATCTGATTTCTTCACTATAGTTACAAAACTAGTAAATCAAATCAAGATATGTGGAGAAACATTAACAACAAGAGTTGTTATTTCAAAGATCTTGAGATCTTTAGCTCCTAAGTTCGACCATATAGTGGTGGCGATAGAAGAGGGGAAAGACTTGTCGAAATTGACAAAGGAAGAGCTTCAAGGGACGCTTGAATCTCATGAACAAAGAATGAATGAAAGAGCTGCAGGAAAATCGAAGAGTGATGTGGCCTTGCAGGCACATTCAGCAAAAGAAACCAAAGGTAAAGGAAAGTGTTTCGACAGAGGTAAAGGTGGCTACAACAAATCGAATGGTAGAGGAAACCAGATCGAAAGAAACATGTCGAATTAAAGAAGGTCATACCAAGGCAACCAAAGAGGTGGTGTTGCAAATAGAGGAAGAGGTGGTGGTCGAAAACCTGATAAGAGTCACATTCAATGTTATAACTGTCAAAAGTATGGTCATTATTCGAGTGATTGTCCAGAAAAACGAAAGAATTGAGAAAGTGATGCAAAGCTTGCAAAACATGAAGAAGAAGAAGAAGAAGAAGAAGAATAGATGATACTGATGGTCACAACAAAAGATGAAGATAGATTCAAGGACCAATGGTACTTGGATTCAGGATGTTCATCACATATGTCTGGAAGGAAAGACTGATTTGTCAATATAAAGCCCTCAATGAAAAATATGATAAAATTTGCAAATGACAATACCCTAGCAGCTGAAGATATTGGTGATGTTATGATTATGAGGAAAGATGGAAAAAGGTCAGTAATTTCTAATGTGTTGTACATACCAGGCATGAAGAGCAATTTGCTCAGTATAGGGCAGTTGGTCGAAAAGAATTATAAAGTGTCAATCGAAGATAAGATGATAAGAGTCGTTGATGCAAATAGGAGATTAATCTTGAAGGCTCATATGTTTCAAAATCGAACCTTCAAGATTGAACTAAATGTGATGGAGCACAAGTGCCTTTTGGCTGCAGCTAGCAGAGATGAATGGATATGGCATTATAGACTAGGTCATCTCAACTTCAGAGACATCAGAGATTTGAAGAGAAGAAATATGGTTTCAAGATTGCCAGAAATCGACATTCCAAACGAGGTATGTGAGGAATGTGTGCAGGCGAAGTAACACAAGAATAGCTCCAGCAAGGATGCAGGAAGCAGGTCGAAGGTTATTCTTGAAGTCATATACTTTGATGTATATGGACCAATCCAGGTGGATTCGATGGGAGGTAACAAATACTTTGTTACATTCATAGATGATTTCAGTCGAACGTTGTGGACTTATCTGATCAAGAAGAAAAGTGAAGTGATCGAGGTATTTGCCAAGTTTAAGTCTATGGTCGAAAGACAAAGTGGTCGAAAACTCAAAGTTTTGAGAACTGATGGTGGTGGAGAATATGCGTCGAAAGATTTTGAAAGGCTATGTAAAAAGGAAGGGATTGTGCATGAGGTGGTGTCGCCCTATACTCCACAACAAAATGGAATTGCAGAAAGGAAGAATTGAACCATCATGAATATGGTGAGAAGTGTGTTGAAAGGCAAGAATTTACCTAAAGAGTTTTGGGGTGAAGCTGTTTTGACTGCAACATACATTTTGAACAGATGTCCTACAAAGAAGCTAGAAGGAATTACTCCAGAAGAATGTTGGTCTGGTATGAAGCCTACCTTGAGTCATCTGAAGATATTTGGATCTATTGCACATAGACATGTGCCAGATCAGTTGAGAAGAAAACTTGATGACAAGTCAAGTCAAATGATTCTAGTTGGATATCATTCGACAGGAGGCTACAAGTTATTCGATCCACAGAACAAGAAGATTGTGATCAGCAGGGACATGATCAGAGATGAGTTTAAAGAATGGGATTGGACTGAAAATGTCAAGAAAGATTCAGTGAGAATCCTACTTGAAGAGGCAAAAACTCAAGTCGAAAGAGAAGTTCGACAAGAGGAACCAGCAGATATACCAAGTACAAGCAGGCCTCAAAGAACAAGACGCATGCCTGCAAGATTGCAAGATTGTGTGATTACATCAGATGATGTGATAGATAATGAAGGTGAGCTGGTACATTATGCTTTCTATGCAGATGTTGAACCTGTTAATGCAGCTGAAGCATTGAAGGATTCGAAGTGGGTGAAAGCAATGAACGAAGAAGTGAAGTCTATCGAAGACAACAACACTTGGTCACTTGTCGAATTTCCTCAAGGCAAGATGGCAATTAATGTCAAGTGGGTATACAAAGTGAAAACGAATTAGAAAGGTGAAGTAACTCGACACAAAGCAAGACTTGTGGCGAAAGAATTTGTACAGAAAGAAGGAATAGACTTCGATGAAGTTTTTTCACCTATTGCTAGGATCGAAACAATCAGGTTGGTTGTTGGTCTAGCAGAAATAAACAGTTGGCACATATTTCAGATGGATGTGAAGTGTGCATTCCTAAATGGACCCTTAGATGAAGAAGTATATGTTAAACAACCAGTTGGGTTTGTGAATCATGACGAAGAAAGAAAGGTGTACAGGCTGCATAAAGCCTTGTATGGATTGAAACAAGCTCCAAGAGCTTGGAATAAGAAAATTGATAGTTTCCTAAGGGAGAAGGAATTTGTAAAGTGAACAACTGAACATGGAGTATATGTAAGAAGAATCAATAGTGAATTGCTTATACTATGTCTCTATGTAGATGATTTGTTGATAACAGGTAGCTGTAAAAGTGAGATCGAAGACTTCAAAGGTGATCTCAGCAAGGAAATCGAAATGTCTGATTTGGGTGAGATTTCATATTTCCTTGGAATCGAATTCTATAAGAGCAGTAAAGGTTTGATGATGCATCAAAGAAGATATGCAGGAGAAATTCTCAAGAGATTTGAGATGGAAGAATGCAACCCAACTTCGACACCTGCAGAACCAAGACTGCAACTGTCGAAAGATGCAGATGAAGATGATGTTGATCCAACCCAATACAGAAGACTTATTGGATCATTGAGATACCTTTGTCATACAAGGCCTGACTTA